ATTTTTTTCCGACATTTAGAAAGGCTTGCACATTCTGTCAATTACCTCTGTAATAACTTTACCCAGTGTCATATAGCTTTTCTTTCTTTTGACAACGGTATTGAGATGGAGGGAGAGGGAAAGGAGGGAGGGAAGGAGGATGAAAAAAGGAACTGAGATGTGTTATGCGCATGCACGGACTCCACAGAGAAAAAGCGAATGGAAACAGGAAGGGGATCCAGAGATGGGTGGACGGTGAGGGCAGGAAGGGAAAGAGGATGAAAAAGGAAGCAAGGCGTATTGTGCATGAATGTAAACACTGTGCACTCCACACAGGGACTTCTAAAGAAAGAAAAACAATGGTGGGATTAGAGCGGGGGACAGGGCTCTGCAGTAGAGCTCTTGCTTAGCATATGTAAGCAGGGGGGCTTACTTCCCAGCACCAAGGAAAAAAGAGGAAGGAGAGAAGAAAGAAAGGAAGGAAAGAGAAGAAAGGAGAGAGAAAGTCTTGCCTTCTGATCTTCTACCTCTCATAGGATATTTGCCAATGACTTGCTTTTTATTAGAGTTAAATTTAAGGATATCACATTGTGAGGGGAGGGAGAAGAGAGGGAGAGGGCATAAAAATAATTAAGATGTATCAGGCACATGTACCACTCCCCATGATGAATGTAATCATTATGTACTGGAAACATGTATTAATGACAACCAATTAAAAATTAAAAAGAATAGATTATCTACCATCTATCATTTATGTATTGATACATGGATTTGGTTGGTTTTAAATGTCATCTTTTTTTTGATACTGGGGATCGAACTTGGGTCCTTGTGCTTACAAGGCAGGCAGCAGAACCACTGAGCTAAATCCCTGGCCCTTAAATGTCATCTTTTGATTCCTGGCTAGTTTTACAGTTCTGTGGTTTTACTTCACGTATTTTGAAGCTGTTACTTATTTGAGACTATTATGTCTTCTTGCTCTATGACTTTTTAATTTTTATATGATATTCCTCACTATCCCCAATATTCTGAACTCTACTTTTGCTAATGTTAATACAGGCTTCTAGTTTTCTTTTAAAATGAATATTGTGTTTTTATCTTTGTTCTGTTTGTCTGGTTGCCGTAAGGATTTTTCTTTATGTTCAGTTTTTAGTGTTTGACTATGGCCCACCTGTGTGTGGTGTGTGTGTGTGTGTGTGTGTGTGTGTGTATGTGTGTGTGTGTGTGTGTTTCCTACTCTGCTTGAGTTTTCTGATGTTCTTAGAGTTCTGAAATGTTGTATTGTGTGAATTTTGGAAAGTTCTTGGTGATTATTTCCTTATATATTTCCTCTGTGCTGTTCTTCCTTTTCTGTGACTCCACTTACTTTTCTGTTAGACTGTTCTATATTATCCCACAGTGTTTAGATTATCTGCCCTGTCTTAATTTTACTGTCTTTTCTCTTTGTTTCAGTTAGAAAGCTTTCTATCGTCTGATTTTCAAACTTGGTGATTCTTCCTCAGTTATATTCAGCCTGCTGCTGAGCCTGTTGAAGTAATCTTTGAATTCAGATGTATATTTTCCATCTCTTTGATGATGATTTCCATATGTTCAAGCGTATTGTCCAACTTTTCCACTGTGTTATTTTATTTGCTGATCGTGAGTATTTTAATGTTCTTATCTGGGAGTTGTAACATCTGAGTGATTATCCGATCTGGTTCTGTTGACTGCTTTACAGTTTGACAAAGGACCTTTCCTTGCTTTTTGGAGATGGGGCTTCCTCAGCATTGCTTCTCCTTTTCCCCAGCATCCCCCTTCCTAAGTGCTGTGGTTTGGATAGTGTCCCCAAAGTCCATGTGTTAAAAGCTTGGTCAACTTTCAGGGGTGAGGCCTAGAACTAGGAAGTCGGATCAGTGGGAGAGCAGACTCTTGAGGGAGCTTTTGGCACGTTGGTCCCTCCTTTTCTTGCTCTTCTTTTGCTTCCTGGCTACCATGAGGTGAGCAGCTTTTTCCCCACCACAAGACCCCCACCATGATATTTCTACTTCACCACGACCCAAAAGAAATGGAATCAACTGACGATGGATTGAAACTGCTGAAACCATAGGCCAAAGAAACCTTTCCTTCTTCTAAATGGACTCTCTCAAGTATTTTGTCACAGCGATGGGCAGCTGACTAGCACAGTGTCCTGGCCTGATGTAGGACAGCACCACTCACTGCTTTCTATCAGTGTAGGACCCTGAGCTAGAGAGGGTCGAGGGTGCTCTAGCCTCTCCCTCTCCTCTGGTGATAGTACCTCTTTGCCTGGCCCCTGGACACAGGAAGATTTCCTGTCCCTCTGCAGTGCTTTTGCTTTTGAAGAATGAGCACTCTAGGGAGGAAGATTGTATGTTTGTTTGCTGGCAAGTAAGACTCCTTGGTTTCCTCACCTTCTCTCAGTTTTTCTTGTGAGATGCTGGAGGCCAGTGAAAGCCAGTCCTACGGGAGAACTGACTTCCCTTGAAAAACGGCGTTCCCAGTTATTTGGAAGTGTTTCACTATGCCTTACTTTATCGGTTCATTAGAATTTTAGCATTGTTTTTCTTTGCTCTTACAATAACCCACTCTTTCCCACTCTTTTAAAAGTGAACTAGTCTATATGCCACTCCTTAGCATTGCATTTACTTGGTTGTCTTACAGTCATAGCTCTCTGATGAGCTCCAGAGAATTAGAACTTTGTAGATGTTAAAGCTCTTTTTTGTTGGCTGAGAAGGAGAGAGGTGGTCATGTGGTTTTGTCACCTAAGCCCAATATCGTTGCGATGGAGTTACAATATTTCCATGTACTCTTCTCTGTAATTCATATTATGTTCTTGAAATTGTGCCATGTTAATTCAAGTAGTGCTAGTTTATTCATTTTCACTGCTCTGTGTGTGTGTTACTTTATTTTCCATCTTTCTTTTCTATGTCTTTTAGTACCTTGTGCTGTCATTTATTCGTATTGAATATCATTTATCTCTATTTTCTAATTCTTTATATTGGCTTCTGCTGCCAATAGACTTGCTTAGTTTCATCTCAAAATGGAAGTTTACTTTCTTGACCTGTATTTCACCCCTGGCTGTTGTCCTATGTTCATCTGCATATTTATGACTTACACATTTTTCTTTTTGAATGTTCCAGCTTTTATTGTAGTGTTTATAATTTTTTATTGCGTTGAAAGAGCTATGTTGAAGATTTTCATCTGTTGTCTATCATGAATCTTGCAAGCCTAATCTCTTGAGCTATTATGACTTGTTATTTTATGTGTATTTTCCTTAAAGTGCTAGGTAATGATATTGCAATTAATTTTAAGAGTGATGAATACTTACAAAGCAAAATGTTATTACTAACATTAAAAGTGGAAAAATATTCATTATCAAGTATACATATTGATTTGATAGCTAAAACATACAGGTAATAACTTTATGTTTCATATTTTAAAAGTATTTAGTAATAAATCTCATTCATTTTTTATGTGATTCATGGTATATATTTTGCTCTCTTTTTAAAATTGAAGGAAAACCATGCTTGGTGGCACATGCTTATAATTCTAACACTCTGGGAGGCTGAAGCAGGAGGATTGCAAGTTTGAGTCTCACCTGGGCGATTCAGCCAGTAAGTGAGACTGTCTCAAATCAGGAAATGAAGAAAGGGCTGGGATATAGCTCAGTGGAAAGGCTCTGGCTTCAATACCCAGTACTGGGAAAAAAGTAAAGGGTTTATTACGGTACTGCATAACACCAGTAACATTTGCACTTGGACTCCATATATACAGTTTTAATTGCTAATTTACTGTATTCATGTAAATATTGATCAGTTGTGCTTCATGAGTAAGTTGGCACTACTTAGCACATAATAGCTATTAATATAGTCCTTTGAGCCAAAATTCAATTATAATGAAAATATTAAATTAATTTGCCATTTTATTTATGACTTTAGCTTGTCATTAATGTTTAATATAGTACTAAACTGTCAGATTAAGATGCTCCTGGAATTAGTAATGATTTTTGAGACATTTGTTTTTCCCTGAGGAATTCCAAATGAGTATATTGTGAGCCATTATTTTTGTTTCTTGTGGCATTTGCCACCTCCACTTTATTATCAAGCTGACAGCTGTTGCTTCCAACAGTACTACAGTTACTGTTGCTGATTCTTTTCTCCCTCTTCTTAATTCCGTACTTCTAATCTGCTGTGAAGGTGGAAACCAAGCCACAAACTTTTGAAAATTTCTGATAAAAAAGGGGCAGAGCAAGTTTTCATGAGATACTCATCTGTGGTTTATTGATTAAACTTTTAAATAGTTATTGTTATTATTTGTTTCTTTGCCTTTTTATCTTTACTTTTCTACCTTCTATTTTATATCTCTTTCCCTTTATCCTAAAGGTAAAATTTACTAGATAATTGATTTCTGAACAGAAGAATGCTACTTTTTTTGACAAGAAAGCTCTTTGTAAAGAATTGCAGGAAATATATTCTGGTTACTCTTTCAAGAAAGTACATCACATTCTCATTATTCAGAATCTAGGAATGAAACTAAAATGGCTGAGTTTGTACCAACTTAACGGGAAGGGGCAAGGGATCAATGTGTAGATCTGGTGACATCTCTTTCTTCCTCCTGGTTCCAATGTGTTTTTTTAGATATTTTATTGTGGTGGAGTTTGGAGAATTTAGGTAATGATAGTGCTTTATATAAAAATATTGTAAAGTAAGTCGAAAAAGTGATACGAATCCAGACACATGGCCCACACCTGTAATCCCAGCCCTCTGGGAGACTGAGGAAGGAGGATTGCAAGTTTCAGTACGGCCTGGGTAACTTAGCAAACTAGTGAGACCCTTTCTCAAAACAAAACAAACAGAAAGGGCTGGGGATGCAGTTTAGTGTGAAAGCCCTCGGTTCAAACCGAATTGCCCAGTAAAATGTGATAAAATAACAATCTATTATATAAAAAGCCCTGACATATGAAAGGAATTAGGCAAGACCAGAACATTTAACTGACTTCTTAAATATACACAAACACAGTAACTTACAGCCAGTGCAGTCTTGGCATGTGCCGGCAGAGAGGCTCATCCGGCAGACGGGTGAGGATGTTGTTCATCAGAACCCTGAGAAGAGAAGAAACCGCAGTGGTCACGCTCTTCTGGGGTTCTTTGCCCATCTTATGAAAAACACACTCTTATCAGTCTTCCTATGACACCAAGCCAACTACCAAGTGAGTGGTCTTCTCTCTGTAAGTGTTCCTCTGCCTGTCCTAGTGTATCTAGGCGCTTGGTAGCACACTGTCTACAAGCAGACACTGTCGTATGGCGGGAAGTGCTGTTGACAACCGAGACCATCCGCGGTGGGCTGGGGAAAGCCCGGGATTCGAAATGACTGTGTTCTTCGCCAGTCGTGGTATATTTCCTTTACCAGCAACATAAGGCCATCATGTGTGCTTTGGGGCATTTCAATAAAACAGTAAGTGAGAGATTCACTTTGGATGGGCTGACTTTCTAGAAGGCAGAGAAACTTATGAAATTGTTAGAATTGTAAGTAGCCTTGGAGAAAATGATGAAGAGATGGTTTTTGGTTCAAAAACCCTGTTTGGAGTTTTAATAGTCCCAAATTTAATGTGCTGATGCTTAAAGCATTCATTTTTATTCATGCCTCTTCTTTCAATTGAAACATTTGCTTTAATTTAGTACTTACAAGAGAATGAGAGAATTTAGGCCATAAAATGTGAGTGGGGAAATTCGACTGAGGTGATTATCTTCAATTATCCTGCCAGCCAGGAGAAAAAAAAAATGGTTTCACTTATATATTTTTAGAATGTAAAGACTCATACTGCAAAATGCCACATAAATTAAACATACAGCCATTCGAGTCTGTGGAGATCTTCAAAAACACCTGGTTCCAGAAAGGCTATTCTGTTATGACTGAGATACCTGCAAAAGGAGAAATAGCTACTGTACATTTGTACTTTTTTGATGTTCACAATAAAGTAAAAATAATCATTCATCTTTCATTTTCTTATTTATCATCCTTACCATGCCACTTTCTCTGCCTTTGAGGCTTTAAGAGGAGTTCCTGTATCACCACTGGCTTTTAGTTTCCCCATAATTAGTGAATTAATCAACCTATGTTTTCATCGATTTGCTGCTTATCAAGTTGTTCTGAGTCACTACTCTCCAGTGGTGTTGGTTTGGATAAATGTGCCCTAAGTGGCCCGTGTTCAAGTGTTTGTCTTCAGGGTGACACTGCTGAGAGGTGCCGTGGGCCTCAAAGTGGGGCCCCAAGGGAGGGAAGTCCTTAGTCACCGGGAACGGTGCGGGAAAGAGACTGTGGGTCCCTGGCTTCTTCCTCTCTCTGCTTTGCTTCCTGATCTTGAGGTGAGCGGCTTTGCTCTACCGCGCACTCCCTGCCGTTATGCGCTTGGCAACAGGGCCCAATGACCATGGACTGGACATGCTCAAGCTGTGGTCCCAAATAACCCTCTTCTCTTTATAAGTTAGTTTTCTCAGGTAAGTTGTCATTGTAGTGACCGAAAGCTGACTAACACAATGGCATCTTGTTCTTTGCGGGGCTCTGAAGCTGGAGGGGAGACAGGATGGGATGTGAGGCACACAGGAACCAGAGGGGAACCTGCAGTGTCTGTGCTCAGACAGTGCAGAGCACGAAACCGTGCTTTTCCAGGAGCAGGGGCCACACGCATTTCCCTGAAGTCGGCAAACATGAGAAGAGAGAATTTAGTTCTGTCTTGGAGAGAACATGGCATTCACACAAAAAAGAAAGTGCAGGAGTTATTCTAGGCAGAGTAAATGGCTGATGACACTATCAACTGGAAATCTGATGGAGTGAGTTGTTTTGGGGGGTGGGCAGTCAGTGGGGTAAGAATAACAAAGGGACAGAAGTGGCAAGGCAGGAAGTTACTTTTTTATGCCATTTTTGGTTACATGTCCTTTCCCTTATTTCTCCTATGAGACAGTTTGGTAGAACTCAGTGAAATGGAATTCTGAGAAAGTCTTTTGTTTTAAAAATCTTACTCTTCAGCATAGTGCGGTACCACTTGCTGTCCGTTAGGATAATTATTGTAAGACAAAGTCACCCCCAAACCGGAAAATAACAAGCAAAAATGTGGAGAGACTGCCCTCTTGTTACTAGCTGATGGGAAAGTAAAATAGTGCAGCCGCTGTGGGGTGTGTGGGGTGGTGAACACATCAGTGGAAAATCATTCCGCCGTACAGAGGGGAGGACCGGCAGTGCTACGTGGGGACAGATGCCGCAGACACAAGTGAACAAGTGCTTTATGATTCTATTTACAAGAACCACTCAGAGTGGTCAGCTGATGGGGACAGAAAGTAGGATGGTGCGCCCGGAGGCAAGAGGGAGTTGAACCAGTCAACAGGTGAGGGGTTTCTGCCTAGGAAACAGACAGTCCTGGAGTGAGGAGGGATGGTGAGGGTTGCACAACAGTGTCAGTCCACTTAACTCCACGGGACCACACATTTCCACGATGCGAAACTATGTTCTGCGTGTGTTACCACAAGAAAAAGCTTTTCTCCTTCACAGTGTTTTATAGATTTATAAAAGCACACTGAGGGGAAAGGAACACTTGGGCTGGTGGTGCAGCTCGGGGGCAGAGCATGTGCTTAGCATGTGTGAGACCCCAGGCTCGACCCCAGCACCAAAACCCAGAAATGAACACACAGAAACAAAACAAAAACCCCGATGACTGGGAAAGGCTTTGGCTTTTTTCTGCTTTATAAATCTATCAGCACACTCCCTCACTTTGACTGAGTTCACTCACCCATCACTCCTATCGCCACGGCTGGCACACACAGTTCTCACTGTGCCCCAGAGTTGGCTACAGATGTTCTCCTTTGTCCCCTACTGTCCCCCCAGGGAGGTGCTATTATAACTTGGATCCTACGGTAGGGGGAACTCATGCCTAGAAAAGAAGATGCACTTCACAGGACCGTTCCCCTGCCAGGCGATGCGATCTGGACTCACGCTGAAGCCGGTCTGACTCGAGCCCCAGGTCTCAGCCTGGCGTCACCCTGTCCCCTCACCCTGTGCGGCCTTCCTCACCCAGTGGAGAGCAGGTGGGCTGGCCTGCACCCGAGGGGACCGGCTGACCACATCAAGGCACAGGCACAGTCACCAGCGCTGCTACTTACAGTTTATTAAGGTTGTACAGTCCTCTGAAGGCGTAGGTGGACACAGATACGATCTCGTTGTTTTGCAAGTACCTGTGAACATGATTATCAGAAAGGAAAACAATGAAGCAGGGTTTCAGTTTTGCCAGCTGGAGGATTTACGTGAGCAGAGGGCACGATGGTAGTTCAACAGTGTGGACGTTCCTGGTTCCTCTCATTGGAAAGTCCAACATGGCGAAGTAGGGAAATTCTGGTAGGCGTGTTTTGCCAAAATTGAAAAATGAGAAACGCAATGAAATAATCTAGTGAAGCCACACATCATGCCACTCACTTTGCTGTTAAATTCATGCACGCTTACTTAGACTGGTTTTTATTTACAAATTCTAGTTATCTAGGGCACAGGCAATAGTAAAAATTTACCTTTTGGATTTCCCAGGAATAAGACTAATGCATAGGAAAGCACTCACTAACCAGACAAGCCTAGAGACCACATTTTTCTAACCTTCCCAAGTTATTGTTATGCAAATTTGTAAGTACTTAACATAATGCTGGTAAAATTATAAGTACATGACTTTTTATTTATTTATTTTTTTGGCACGTGGGATTGAACTCAGGACCTTGTGCTTGTGAGGCTGGCTCCGTGCCACTGAGCTAAATCCCCAGCTCAGTACCTAGCATTCTAATGTCACCAACCATATTCCATGTTCACTACAAACCTTCCAAGCAAATAAATTTAAAGTTTAGTAATCTGGCCCCTCAAGTCTTCTTCCACTAAGTGTTTGAGGCCATTCATAAGGAATGTTCCTTATGGCAAAAGAGAAAAATATAAATTCAAAATATAAAGACTGGAAAACATAAATTACAGTTCAATGTATAGGCAAGACTGAATGCAGGCTTACAGAGGTTACTGAAGAGAATTTTGATCTCGGTTAACTGGAGATCAAAAGAAAAAGGTGGCAGTGTATAACCCATTCAATCACATGTAAAGCTTTACATCTATGTGTATAGGCCCTAGTAAGGGTGTCAAGCCTGCCTTCTTGCTTAGAATTCAGATCGTCTTTGTTCTTTAGCGTGTCCTGAATTTATACATAACTTGTTATAAATCCTAGAGGCAGTAAGAGAGAAATCAGTATGAGTGAGCTTTCAGTTAATTAAAATTTTTGACTAAAAGAGATTCCTTATTGCTTAGTATGCAAGAGCTAGCTCTGATTTTAAAATGTTAACATAAAAATTATTATGCACCTGACAGTTTCACTTGACATGCAAAGATCCAGTCATATAGTAAGTAACACATCCTTCTCATATGCAGAAAAACGATTTATCTGCTTCTAAGTTTTATAAGGATTGACTAAGCAATGAACTACATCGCCTAGATGTAGGTTAGATTCCAATTAGATTCCTTTTTGTTATTAGGCTATTTTGATCATTTTATTTCTTTGAACAAATTGGCTGTTCAATAATGTATTTGATGTTTGGTGTGCAAAACATGCTAAACCACTTGAATTTTGATATTTACATTCTAACTTCTTTTAAACTTGTGGCCTTAAGGTGGTGCTACAGATTAGAAAAATTCTTTAGAGTCCAAAAATCAGAAAACAATATAAGGAAGTACTCTCTTGAAGTTTTGCAGCAGGCACAATTTTGCAAAAATCTTCTCAATCAATCAATACATGTTCAAAATAAGTTCTGAAGAACCATCTTTGTTAGACTTTTAATTTCCAAATCTGAAATATATTTTTCTGCGGATTATTTGGGGTTTTAAAATATTTCATTCTTTGTTTCCATATGGTATCTTAAAAATATGCACATATATATATCAGTTTCTCTAGTGTTAACCCAAACTAAAACCAATACAAATAAAAGTGAAACAAGGAATTCTGAGATATTTTCTAGATAGTGTGATTTAGGCATAGAGCATCTGAAGCCAATAATTCAAGTATAGAACAAGATGATTTAGTCACAAGCTGACCTAATTCACAGATAAGTATCACCTGGGCCTCTGTGGCTTTCAGGCATACCTTCATGACCCTGAACATGTCAGATACCTCCTGAGGCCAAGATAAAATTCATCCTACTGGGCAGGTGGGAGAGTGGAACCAAGCCCTCCACGCTCAGAGGTTATAAACCACAGCAATCTGCTGTCTCAGGCAGAGACTAAATTTCCAAACATGTGGAAGAGGAGTCTTCATTTTCTAACCTTCATGGTGAGTCTAGGAAAAGATAATCTAAGATGGGCACTGAGGGTAACCATGCCAGAATGATGGAGAGTGAAGAGCTCCTAAGGACAGATTGCTATTTTGGAGAGTGTGGTAGAACAGTGTCCCCGACCGTTTTGGCACCAGGAATGGGTTTCATGGAAGACATTTTTTTCCGTGGATTGGTGGAAGTGATAGTCTGGGGATAATTCACAGGAGTAAGCAACCGAGATCACTAGCATTTGCAGTTCACAGCAGGGTTTGAGCTCCAATCAGAATCTAATCTGACTGGCTCATCTGACAGGAGGTAGAGCTCAGCTAAAGATTCCATTGATTGGAAGAGACTGAATAGTGATGAAGCTGGACTCCTCACCCACCACCAACTGCGCTGTGTGGAGCAGTTCCTCATAGGCCACTGACCCCTGGTGGGTGGGAGCCCTGTGGTAGAGGATTCACAGCAACAAGCTACAGCTTCTTTGGGGATTGGTCCCTGAGATTTTTCTAGAATGCCTTCTAGAACATCTCAGAAAAAAAAAGGTACCTAGGAGTTAGCTGTTGCCTGTTTTATCTAACAGATAATCACTTGAAAAGGTTTGGTTTTAAGCAGTGATACTGTAGGTCTCTAAAAATGTGGAAAGAAACAGATACACCCAAGAAATGCTAGAAAATTAATTGTCAGAAATTAAAGTTTTTCTTACAACTTCTGAAGATCATGGTACTTCTTGAAGGCATTGGGAGGGAGTTTTCTTAAGAAGTTCCACTGAAGCGACCTATAATCGAGGTAAAGTTTGGTTCTTAAAGGTTTTTTCCACTTTCTTCATATTACAACATGGATAATTATAAACTGTAGTTACTTTAGCACCAGCTTTCAGCAAACAACTTCTTTATGATGCTACTTATATTCACAGAACTGTTTGAATTAGATCTGCTGATTTTGTATTATAGAATATACTCATGTTTTTAAAAATTGAGGTTTCGACATTGTAATTCTGACAAAAGAATTAAAAACAAAAAATGGAGAAACTTGATTTTCAATTATTTTGTTCTGATTTTATTTAATAAACTTTAGAAGGCATCTGATTTTTGAATAAACAATGAGTGTTTTTCATTTAAAATGCAGTCATAGATTTAGTTTTTAAATATTTCATTGCCTACATTCTATCATTCTGAAATTAATTATGAAAAAAACTCAATTATATTAATAGTTGAACTGTCTTTACTGAATGAGTGATCTCATTCCAATTTCTATTAAGTTATATGGAAAGATTTTCCTGTATATCATTAATTTAATAAACTACACTTTGAGATAGACAAGGTCCTCTTAGGGTGGTTGGGAAGGCCATAGGCCTTTAATTTTTTCCTAAGAAAAGCATTGTAATATATCAGATAAATTAAGGAAATAAAAATCCAAGAGCAATGTAGCTCATGTCCCTTGCACAAACCACCCATAACTTTTTCAAGTAAATTACTTTAACTGTGTAAAGATTTAAATGAGCTCTCTAATAATATGATGGCATTATTAATAGTCATTATATTCTATGGTGGAGTAGATACATACTGACAAATATGCAAAAGACAACATTGTCTGGAGGTTAAAGACACTGCCATACAATAACAACGTTTAAATTTTGGACTAGCATTACTTAAAATTGGTAAGGAATCTTTCTTAAAGATACTGTTATGACCTCATATCTAGATGTTCCCCCCAATATCTCATGTGGTCATAGGTGGGGATCTTCAGAGGTGGCTGGATCTAGAGTGTGATGCTGGAATTGATTCTTGGTGCAGTGCTAGGATTAAGGGTGCCCCACCCTGGGTATGAGTGCCGCCCACCCTAAGGATGGGTAGCCTGGATAGAATATAAGGACAGGAAGAGGACAGCTTGCTGTTGTCATCGCTTATTGCTTGCTGCGTTTTCTGTCTTCTGCCTGCCATGAACTATTTCTCCTCTGCATTGTCACACTGCCTTGCAGCCAGCCGATTATGAAATCTTTATAAACTGTGAGCTAAATAAACCTTCCCCCCTTTAACTTTGGGTGTCAGGCATTTTGGCTCAGCAACAGGAAAAGTAAGTAAGATAGGTAACTCCTCTAGGTCTCCAGACAATATTTGTGGACATATTTTGAGAAACATTGTTCTAGAATCTAGGAGAACATCCAGTCTCGCTAGTGGGTGAGGACTGATTCCTAGAAAGTAGTAAAACCTCTACTTTTTAATGTATAAAGTAAAATATACATAAAGAGATGTATGGTAAGCATAAGTATCAAAATTTCACAGGAGAGCAAATGTAGAAAAAATACCTTAAAAAGGCCCCAGGGTGGAGGGACAATAAAGAAAAAAAAATTAAAAACTGTATAAACTACACACATCAGGTACTTGATGGTTTTTAAGCAAATGCCAAAGGTTGATTATCTGTTGAAGTCACTCTCAGCTGAGAATCTTTTTTACTAATGATTCTCACTTGGTTTCTATCCTAGGTTCCACTTTATATTCTGGGTTTCTATTTTCTAAGAATAAATTGTTAAGCATTAGAATTTGATTTAAGACTCTAGATATAATTTTTGTATTATTAAAATGTGTTCATTCATTCATTCATTTTCTCAGCAAACATGTCTGACACCTGCTGTTTGCACTTCGGGAAACAGACAATACGTGTGCTCGTAAGAGCCTTGCTGTCTATCTAGATGACGAATGGCATGAGTCTATGGATAGGGACTTTTCTTCAGTGTGAAAGCTTAGGATTTACCATCTATTCTTGTTGACATTATTGATCTTAGCTCCTGTTGTGGCATATCATCTTTACACTAATTGGAGGAGAAGAGAGGGAAGGGAAGGGAAGAACATCTAAAAAACAATCTGTGTACATGTAACCACTCCCCAAGATGACAGTAAGCGGCATGAACTGAAAGTGTACTGAAAAAATTTAAAATTAAAAATAAAGTTCAATAAGTTTGATTTCTATTTATTAAAATTTATCTCAAAAATATTTATCTAGAGATTATTACACTGTTAGAAATTTTGGAAAGTATATAGAAAAGCCATGGGGATTACGTTGTTTTCCCTTTTGATGTATGGATAGAGTCCCAACGACTAGGCAAGAAAGCATGTTTAATATACTTAAAAGAGGGAAAGGAGGGTCTATAGAAGGATGCAAGAGGCAGATGCTAATTGCACCTCTGTGTGGGAGTTACCATAGTGGGACGGGAGATTCACTTAAGGGCTCCTACATAACGTATCTTAGAAGGCTGGATCCTCATTGATACAGAATGCATTGAGTTTATAGGTTCTTTCTGTGTGACCCAGATATTTTCATAAATAGTGGTAGTATTTACATTTTCAGAATATCCCATTGAAATGGAGAGAGGTGATTGTTATTTTCATCGATTAGGACAAACCAAAATACTTGTAAAATACAGCAGATTCTTACATTTTAAATTTTGATACTCCGAAGTTTGACTCTTCACATAATCTTGTATTTATACTATGATAGAGAAACTACCCAGTTTGATAAACCCAGAGATAGCCCTGATTTTAATATAGAAATCTTTTACTATTGCATCTCACAGTTTTAATGATAAAATTCTTGGATCTAAAGTAGAACAAAGTTCATTTTTAGTGAGTTAGAATAATGCATAAATATTCCTATCTCTGTGTTTGCCTGTTTTATTCTTTTGCATTTATGTGAGTGTTTTAAATAACTTTAATAACCATCCCTTGGATTATTGGCTTCTGTGATACTTTACTTATATATGATTTTAGTCCATTTTTGACATTTCACCATAATAGTTCCAACTCAAAATTGACAAAACTCAGTAAGGAAATGTGGTATTTAATTTTTAATGTATTTGCTGTAAAGCCTGGAGTCCTTCTTCCCTATGAGCTGAACAAACAGACAGGGATAAGGCATGAAGCAGCTCTGCAGCTGAAAGTATAAATGCACAGATGAATTATCAAAGTAGTGCAACTCAAAGTGTAGAAGAATTCTACTTTTTTTTTGCAGTATTAGTGGATAAACCCAGGACCTTGCCCATAGCAAGTGCCCTACCACTGAGCTACACTCCCAGCTCAGCCTATGAATGCCATCTTTTAACAGAGAATAAATCAAATGCTGTAGACATAGCTTTTTAGCCTTATGCCTACATCTCCAAATGCCCACTGGAAATTTCCAAAGAGTTACTCTGCAATTTCATATTAAAAAAGAAATCCAACATCAGAGTCCTAATTGTCCCCACTTGCTGCCACCAGGTCTCCTCATTCTCAGATCAATTTGTTACTCAGTGAGGAAACCTTGGAGTTACCTTTGACCCCTACTTCTCTTTGCTTTGTTGTAGACAGTCATTTGTGAGGATCTGGTCCCAGATTTTGTTGTTTGTTTGCTGCGCTGCACATTGAATTTGGGGCCTCACATGTGCTAGGCAAGCATGCTGCCACTGCCTTCTAAATTTTTTATTTTAAGACCTTATCTTGCTCATTTTTCCACAGTGGGCTCAAGCATGCCATCTTCATGCTTCAGTGGTTTGGATTACAGGCATGCATCACCTTATCTGGCCGTTTTTTAAATACCAGGGCTGAAAATTGGAGGGCCAAAGGCTCGCATGCATCTATGTGAGTATGTATACATGTATGTCTACATGAATGTATGCATTATTTAAGTAAATATAGGGCCAAATAATTTTTAATTAAATGGGAAAGCAGCTAAATCACTCACCACTTGGGTAGGTATGATCTTTCACTGTTCTATTCCTTTTATTCCCCTCTACCCCTCCAGCTTTCTCCCTCTGTGTTTCCCTTTTAACAGAGGTTAGTGGAACTGAGAATGGACGTAAGTCTTATTTGTGAGAAAATGAACAATGAAAATGGCAGGATCAGGGAATGTTTTTGACTTGGATTTTCTAGTAATTTAAGCAATGTGGGTGATAATTTTTTCTCTGAAAATATGATGAAATTAGTACAAATTCTTATATTTGGTGTTTCCAATTAATTTTTTGCAGAGGGCAGGGGCTCATTATGTAGTTCAGGCTGGCCTTGAACTCACTACTGTATGCAGCCCAGGTTGACCTTGAATTTGGAGTGATCCTCCTGCCTCAGCCTTCCAGCTGCTGGGATTACAGGTGTGCACCAACCACCGTGCTCAGTTCCAGTTAAAATTTAAACCACAGAAACTTTCCACAGGACCTTAGTTTCTTTGAGAAATCATTATGTCTTTCTAGTCGGACTAATGACGATAAAAAAGAGGTATAAGAATGAAGGAGAGGACCAAGTGCTGGGGAGCTTTTCCTTTCTTTAGCTCAGGCGGGATGCTTTGTGCTCTAAATTCCTGATGTCCTAGTTTGGGTTCCAAGGAAACTCCCCAGATTCTGTGACTCGATGATCACACTCTCTGTAGGAACTCTGCACTTTAGATTTGCCATCCCTTGCATGTTGAGCCCTTAAATTGTGTATGTTGTTTAGTTTGAGACAGGCAAGACTTGCTGACATTTGTAAACTCAAGAATTGTTTGTTTGTCTCCATATACCAAAAGGTCAGAGCCACAAGACACTAAAACATCTGGATTAAGAAAAAAACCAACTCAGAAAAATACTAGGTTAAAATAGCTGCCTTTGTTGATCTTGTTTTAAAAAAAAGTTTTGGTGAAGTGTGTGTCTTTGTGCTATTAAAATTGGTTAAATCCGAATTTGTACATTTGAAAACTTAGAACCATAATTACTAGAAATCAAGAAACCATTCATTATGAGAACAGTTTCTTTTCATAAATAAGTTTGAATTGCTTAGGAAAAAAAACATCAAACTCTTTGAATCAAAATGTGATTCAAAAGTTAATTTAAATGCAATGTTCTGGGAATATTTCATTCCGGTTATTTTTCTTGTTTTCCTTTATTCGTACATCATAATATTCAAACTTAGGTCCAATAAATTCTAAAAGAGTTCTTTCAATAAGTGTGAAAGAAAAATTCTCTGTTACTGTTTAATTAGAGGCCTTTTATCTTTGATTCACATAATATCTGGTATTATGAAATACTTCATAGGGTTCTTATGAGGGGTTGAATAATTTAATCCATGGAATAATTTAAGGTTGGGGTTTAGCATTTAATAAATGCAAATGACTATGAGCAATCACTATAACTGATGCAGGAAAAACAACGTCTTTGACAAAAACGGATTCTTGAAACTGACATGGTCTTGGTACAGTGTCACCAATACTGTCCCGGGGATAGGGACAAGCCCTCCTTTTGTACTTACATTGCAGTCACATTTGAAGAAACTGACGGGACAGCTCGTAAACTGGCTTCATCACAGTCGAGCGCTAGACCTCGGCATGAACAGTGCCCCGGCACAGAGCTGACCACTGGACAGAGACACGGGCAGAGGGGCGACAGCGAGGGGCCAGGAGGACAGGGTCATGAAAAGCAAGGCACAAAGAGCTATGAGAAAGTTACTTAGTACACGTCCTGTCTCACCCGAGCCATCTGAGCAATGCCTTAGGTTCCAAAGCCTGATTTTAGGTTTAAAATGAAGCTAGAGGATTAACATTTGGATGCACACACATTTACCAGGCCACCACTTTGTTTTTAAAAAGCAGCAGGCTGTTCTTTTCCTTGTGCTTGGAAATGAATGAAACCATCTGCTCTTATGTCACCAAAGGGTGATGGGATCGGTGTGATAGGGTCAATGTCCATGAGAAAGCTTCTATTTAAGAATAAAGTGTTTATTAACACTTAATATTAATATCAAAACATTTACAAGAGGACTAAACAGTGAATGATGGTATTGGTAGATTTAGGTTTCCTAGAAAATTCAAGTATTCTTCAAAAGATTGTTTTTAAAAAATGCTTTTCTTTGGATCCTGTGGAAATGCAGGATATCTAGAGACAGCGGTGAGCAATTCCTCCCCTTTAAGTTTGATTCTGGAGCCCTCAGCTGTACAGCAGGGGTTCCAGATTCAAATGTCTACTGGGGTCAGGCAAAGAAAGCGTGATCTGTGCAAAGAGAGCGATTTCTAAGTTAGCAACATGTGCAGCCACATCTACTAAGTTTCTCACAGAAAACAGAAAGAAATACAATGTTTTATATATAATTATTTCAAAAGGTTCATGGCTAACTTAAAACATCCCGGAACCCACGGATCTTTCCTTGTGAATTCTCTGCCTGCTGGCTTCCTGTTTCTAATCTTCCCAGAGAAGCTTCCTGGGTGGGGCATGGGTCCCATTCAGAAGGACAGAGGCCCATGAGTGTGAATGGCCACCAGATCAGAGCAGGGAACCCGCCCCTTCGCTCAGGTGCAGAGCTGACTGTTCTTCCCTTCCGCCATGTAAGCGCAGAGACCCCTCTACGCGGGTACGAGAGATCAGGGTGGGGAGTCAGCTTTGCTCATTCCTCAGCAGTCTTATTTAGCTGTAAGTATGCATTTTGGCTCTGATCACTGAAAATGAGTTCTGTCTCTTTGAGCTAAAGTCCTAGGTCATGTGTGAGCGCTGTCTGGGGATGGGATGGGATAAGGGGAGGACTGGAACGGAAAGCAGAAAAATCAGCATGGACTCCAGCATTTAGTCTACATATATCTCCATGATGAATGTGAGTTAAGATCTATACGTGTGGCTGGCAGGGTGGTCTGTAATAGGGAAATGTGGAAAACCACATGTAAATGTTACAAAACACAGTGCCTTCTGGGTACCTGTGTGTGCAGTGGCAGTGAGAATCAAGATCGGGGCCTCTTGCATGCCCAGCAAGTGCTACACCCTAAGCTCTGCCCCAGCCCTGTGTGCTGTATATTTTTAAAGAGCTTGTAATCATATGGACGCCTGATTGTGCTAAAATGCTAGAGGAAAATGCTATTGGAAAATGATTCACTCAGAAAATTCCAGATATTCTTTTAAAAAGATGAGTGATGCACCAGTGAGTCAGTGCCAGTAGCCTCTGCACGATGAAATTATGTGGCAGCAAACTTTTCTTCAAACTCTGTGTAATTTCAGCTTTGATGGTGCACAGGTTAATCATAGAGATGACATTTTCCCTGACACTGATCTTGAGTGGGAGGTGACATTGAAATGGGAATTCCTCACATTCTTTCATTTAGACAAGAATTTAGGCAAGCCATCCTCTGTTTAATTTCTAATGAATCCTTATAGTAACTTGATTGAACAGAGTGGCACAACAGGAACCAATTTAAGTTTCACACCCTGGTTTCATCTGCACTTGTCATCTAATTTTTGTACTGCTTTCAAGAGTGACAAAGATATTTGATTGTTTTTTTCAGAACTGGGGATCAAACTTGCGACCTTGTGCTTGCGAGGCAGGCGATGGCACCACTGACCTATATCCCCAGCCCTGATATTTGATTATTAATAGCAATTTCTCATCATGTCTAAAGAATTCTAATTAAAAACTATGCATTTGTGCAAGAGTATGTATTAAGGATAAAGTTTTTTTCTGTAGTTTTGATTCATTCTTCTTATGCAGTTATACTTGTGACAAATTTCCACAGTGCAAGATCTGGGATAAGGAAAAAAATTATTTTTCTTGCTGACTTGATCTGAAGTATCCCCGTTTGTTGGTTTTTGCCTCACAAACTGGACTATGAGAGTTATGTAAACTAGTATTTTGACCTAATAGCTACAAAATTCAGAACTAAGCTTTGGGTGTGGTTGCTGACCTGTTCATGGTGAGGATTTTCTTATGTAGTATTTCTTTGCCATTCTATTTTCAGTGTCACTTGACTGTTGTCTTTTATCTCATGGTAATGGTTTAAGTCTATTAGGAGCTGTTGAAAATTTTGGGGTGAGGGGGAATAGAGTGAGCTTATAAAAAGATTCAGTTAAAATTTAAGAAATGAAATCAATATACAATAAAAATAACACTTGCTAATAATATAGTTTAATCATTATTATCTTTGACATTATATTAGCAATTAAATTATGCTTGGTTAGCTTTTCTCTTTCTAAAAGCTTTTAGCTTTTTAGCAATCAAATTATTTGGCTTTCTTCCTCTGGAATACACATGGGATACTTTGTTTAGTAAGTTTCTATTAATCTCACTTGAGTAATGAAGACAAAACCAATTCAAAATTTGGAAAGCTGGATTTTACAATTTGTGGCTGGTCCTGGAGGAAAAAATCTATAGTAAAAGATATCTCCCCTCTCCCAACCCCTGCTTTTTAAACAAGGTTTTGAAAACCTAGGATTGCAATTATAGGTCCAAGGTACAGAATTATATCTGCATAATTTATTTATTTAAAGATATTATTTTCATAAATCTTTTTGTTTTAAAGTATCATAAAAGTAATCCTCAAGTTTATGCCCTTCTAAGCCCCCTCCATTTGTAAGTTTCCTATATATATGAGTAAAAATCGTAAGTTATAATTGATAAGATTTTGTAGTTCTAAAATATATTTAGACCTCAGAACATTTTTTTGCTTGAAAATATAAAAATCTAAACAGCACCACTGCTTTTCTGTCTTCTCAGTTTCTTTTACCTCAAAGTTTATAGCGACTGTGCAAAGGGAACTTAAATAAAATAGCATCCCCAAAATTAACATAAATTTGTTCATAATACCTGACATGATTGTTTTTATTCTTAGGATCCTTGAATCATTTGAAAATAAAGCCCCCAAATTTAAGGATGTATCTCTAATAAAACTTGCAACTGTGAAAGTACAATTAACCCTTAAAAAACTCTATTGGGTCCAACTTTTAAAAACATGGCTCTGTCACGAACTCATGGGATAGGAGACTCACTGGCAGTGCTTACTTACGGCATTCGGATCGTTCTGTGTCAAAGGGATATGGGGAGGAGGCCATTTGGTAATAAGTGGCAAAGTATTTGTCAAGTTGCAGAGACCATCCATGGTTGTCCCCTAAAGAAATAAAATCAGAGAGGAGGAAAGTTTAAAAACAGAAATATTTTGGGCTCTCCAAGCCAAGCTTTGTGAGAAGCACATCATCTGGGGATGTGGTGCACGTGCAGCTCTCTGGACACCTGGGCACTGTCATGGAGCCTGGAGGGGCCCCAGGGCATGTGTGCGGAAGCTTGATTCCCACATGCAGTGAGGGGGGTGGGACCATTAGGAGGTGGGACTGTTAGGAGGTCTTCCCCCTTGAGGCGGATTGTGGGTCGGCCTCTTTCTGTCCCATCCCTCTCCTCTGGGCCATGAGAGGACTGTGTTTGCTCTACTCTGTCCTCTTACTGTGCTGTGCTGCCTCACCACAGGCCAGAGTCATGGACAGAAACCTTCCAAACTGTGAGCTGAACTAAACCTTTTCTCTGTGCCAGCTAATTAATTGAAGTGTTCTAGCGAGAGCAAACTGATCAGCACAGCCTAGGACAAAGGAAGTCGAGAGGCAATGAATGTGGACATTGAGTCATGAAGGGGACAGGTCATGCGAGACATGGCTGTGGGCGCGGCCAATTGCCCGAGGTGGGGCTGTAGTGGGCTACAGATGGACTACAGATGGACTACGGATGGACTACGGATGGACTACAGAGGGACTACAGATGGACTACAGGTGGACTACAGAGGGACACAGCCTCTGAGTGTCTTCAGGTCATGTTCCCGGACACAGAGATGGAAATGCTTGGAACAACTTTTCACGACTCCTCTGTTGTCATACGTGGGACGCACTCACTTGTATTTTGAAAGGCCAAAGAGAAGTTGAAGGCTTCTATGCGTTTTAATTTTCTTGAGGTAGGAAGCAGAGCAAGGACAAGCAAATAACGGAATACCACAGGGCAAGAATTGGAAAACCAGACAGTAAGGAGGACTCTCCAAATACTGGGCAGCCAACAGATAAAGGCTGTCCTGCCCTCCCAAGATCCGCGAGCATCTGCAAAGCCGAGAGGACAAGACCCAACCTCATTTGCAATGCATTTTTGACCCCCCCCCCCGTGGGGTTCAGATGCCAGGATACTTCTTCTAGAAACCCTGAATGATCAGAAACCCTCCTGTGGGTGGGCTGAGTCAGGTACCCATGGCTGTAGACTGCTGCAAATTCCCAGCTGTGGATGACCCCACAATCTCAGAGCCTTAGGAGGCCCAGTGGTGCTGCTACTCTCCCAGTGGCGGAGCTCCTCTCCACAGCTGCTCCCACCCTGCGGAGTGGACTTTCTCTCTTAATAAAGCTTGCTCTTGTCCATTCTTCTGGATGCCTTGCTCACTTCTCTGCTCCAGATTCCAAAGAGCTGGACCCCCTGAGACCCCCTATCCAGTCACGCTCCTGTTTTAGCAGAGAGGTTGCATGTAATATTTAACATGCATGGAATTGATATTTAGTTACATACATGCTGTGTTTTACCAGTACAATAACTTTATTTGGCCAGTATTATCATCTGATTTGCAGATGGAAAAACCAACTGTGAGAATGATTTTGCTTAGAAACAGAGTTATTAAAGATAGCTAAGGAACACAAGCACAAGGTCCCCAGTTTGATCCCTGGTGCACACACACACACACACACACACACACACACAAAAAAAAAACCACACACACACACACAAAATTAAAGCATGAAAATAATAATAAAATCATTTTTATTGTTTTCCAGGCTAAAGAAATTAATCAGTGCATAGTCCACATATACAAGTCCAAATTTGTGTTACATCAGCTTTGAATACTGAGCTATTAGCATTTTTTGCCTATTTCTCTGTTCATTTTATTTTTGTTTCTGAGACCTGTTAGTGCTCCGATGATGCCTTGAGTGCGCTGCTTTTGCTGAGTGCTCTGAACTAGAGAGATGGAGGCCATCGGATGCAGCCGCAGAAGCACAGTTCCTTGCTGACCTTCTCCTGTCTTCCTGGGCCCCGTGCTTCTTTCTCTCTCCCAAACCAGAGTTTCTACTCCTTAAGATGGTCACAGGATTTGGAACCCCACTCCTCAAAGAAAGCCATAAAACCTAGAACTATTACTCTCATTTCCCCCTGCTTTTCTCTGTAGAAGCTGGCTATGAAGAAATCCTCTCACTTACCTTGTCTGGTAGCAGATTATAACAATCTCACTGGAGGAGTCTTGCTCCATCTTGGAGGAGGGAATGCTACGCAGAGCATCTGAACAGGACAGCCTTGCCAGGCTCCTTCTGTCTATCCACCAGCATTAGAATGTAACACTCTGTCTTGTCCAGTCCCACTTTCACACAGGTTGTCCATTCTTCTCTGAGTCTAAGTTTTGAAACAGTTTTACCTGGGTCTTTGGACCTTTATTTCTGAAGGTTCCTCTGTCACCTACAGCTTTGATGAAGTGAACTCTTCTTACGCTGTTCTCTTGTTAACTTGTCTTTCACTAGAGGACTGCTGGCTGTGATCTTTCCCACGACTGAGAGGAACCACCCTTTTCCATGCCACTAAATTGCATGAATTATATAAGAAGTCCCTTAAACAGTAATCAGAATGAATTCCAATTATTAACTGGAATTTAATTTCATCAAAGCTTTCATTCATAAAAGCAATGAACTTGTTGCAAATCATTATGATATTACTGAAAAAAACAACAAAATAACTTTCAGAGCAGTGTTATGAATGGTCATACATGTTACAAGTGAAACATGTAAGAAGATGAGATATTTGGCTCTGGTTATGTCAAAGGCACTGACTTTCTCATAACCAAGGTTTTTGCATGTTTGCAGAAGCCTCCTGAGAAGTAGGCTGGCAAGGTGGGAAGGATTTGGCCTTTAGGCTGCCGGGGCCTGTGTGCCTCTGGAAGGAACATGTTGCTTTCAAATTTAGAATCCTGACTTTTCCACCCCTACTCTGGAAACCACAGGGGAAAGTAAGCGAAGTGACCGCATTCTAGAACCCAGGGCTACTCTAACTGCTGCAGTTTTACCATTCACAGATGGCCCTCTGGCTTGAGACCACAGGCTCAGTGCCCTCTCCTGACCCCGATCCCTTATTGTTGCTCCCTTGCACATCTGCTGTTTTAAGGAGGACGGTGTGTGTGATGTTGGATGTAACACTTTCGTCCAACGTGTTTTGGGTTTTTTACTTTCCCTCTCGTGGTGCTGGAGATTAGAACCCAGGGCCTCACTCGTGCTAAGCAGGTGCTCTACCACTGGACTACATCTTTAGCTTCTCTACTTATTTATTTCCCTTCCCTTTCTTTTTCTTAATATTGCCAGAAGAAACAGAGAAACAGAGGGAGGAGAAAGAGGAATGCTGTCAAGATGGAAGTGGGGAATTTTTGACCAGCAAAAAGGAATAAATAGCGCATGGCTGCTCATGCTCCCCCAGGTCAGAGCATGCATTTTGTAGAGACTTTTAAAAAACAACAGCATCTTCAAACAATCAAGCTTTTTAGTAATTTTTACTTTTCTTGTGCCTCTCCAAGGCATTTTCTTCTCCTTACCCTTTACTTCCTCCCTCCAGAAGGCAGGGATATAGAACATGGATATTATTGCCAAAATCGTAAAATTGGAAAGGTAGCACTTTCCAGAAAACAGCTTTTGGTATCTGCTTCTATGTTTTAAGTGCTATAGCCTTCAGATTTTAAAATGTACGGGGCAGTGAGCAGAATGGTTTTTTATACATTGGAAAGTGTCGTGCTAAAATAAGATTCTGATTTTTCTTGAGGTAACCCGGGGTAGTATCAAGAACAATTTACATTAAAAAAAGAGCTTTTAGCTAAAAAGATGTAGTGCTTCCCTAAATAAAAATTAAAAACCCGGATCAAGAAAAATGTGGTCTTGTATGCTGCATGAATTTAATAAATATTTACTGATTGATTAAATGAATGACCAGAACTCGCTCTTTTTTTGCAGTAATGGGGAATGAACCAGGTCCTCCTCACTGAGCTACATGCATGCTCTTTTTGTGTGTTATTTGAGACCCACTAAATCATTACATTGCCCAGGCTGGGCTCTAACTCATGATCCTTTGGCCTCAGCTTCCCAAGTGCTGGGAAGTGCTGGCCCACATCACCCCCGTGCCCAGCAAGGGCTACTTCTTTACACATTCCACAGACGAAATTCACTCTCCTCCATGCTAAAATGAAATTTGGGGACTGGGTTACTCATCAAAGGACTCTTTTTTTTTTTTTTTTTATTGAGTTTATTGGTACATTTAGGGATACAGTACAGTTACATTCATTGTTGGGATCATGTACCTTTACATGGCAAGTCTTGATTCTCATTTTTTCCCCTTACCTCTGCCCTCCCTTCACCCCCTCCTCCCCCCCCCATCTA